ATAGTTTAGGGTAAATAAAGAGAGAGAAGCGTTCGTGTCTTTACTGACAATCTGAATGCAGGTGTCTGATGACAAGAGGCCCCAGTCTGGTCCTCTGCTTGGATTATGGAACTGTTCAAAGGTTACTGATCCCAGCTCTGCACCTCCTCTCCCTACCTCCCCCCTCCCCACAGGGAGTTCACAGTTTAACTCCTAAATCCAGATGAGAAACACCCCATTTACCAAGTCAACTGTGAAGTCTATAGTATGAAAATCACATCTACTAAATTCAGGAAAAAATTCTTCAAGGTGGACTTTGAACACTTAAAAAGTAAGAAACTGCTTCTAGAAGTGTGGTATTTTTCCACTGTCTTCATCAGTCCCCTGGGGAAATTCCAGGGGGGAGAGACCAGGGATAAAGAGCTTTCTGTATTTCTCTTGGTTTTCACTGCTAAAACAATTTTCGTTCCATTAGGTTCCTAATGTGAGATCTCTCAGAGTAAATTTACACAACAGCCTCTGACTTTATTAATTCGTCACAACTATCGTGGTCTTCCCATGTCTACAAATTGCTTACTGCTCACAAATTCTATCTTCTGCTTACACACTGCCTTGAAAATTGTTAAATGCAAAATTATTCCAGAATTACAAAAACTATTGGGCTAGCATGGCATATCCGTATACATGTGGCATACAATAGATAATTACCAACTCATCTTTCCAGAGTTCTACTGGAGATCCTACAAGATTGTGTCCCAAACACAATCTGAGATTGCCTCTGAGAGGCATCTGGCCACTGGCCACCAGATGAATGAATCCCTTAAGTCTTGAGGAATGACAATTGCCTTGAGGTATTATCTAACTGCTTACCCCAAGTATTTCCCTAGATGGCTTGTCGATGCCTTTCTGGTGATGCTTTCCATATTCATAGAATGGAGGAAGTTTGCAGAAGATGGTTAGGTGGCCTCACCTAGTAATCAACACTTTCAAACTCCCCAAGGCAGATCCATTAAAAAAACTGCTGCCTGGCTGCAAGAATAAACCCTTACCTGGTTCAACTCAGTGTGTTACCTTCCTACTTCCCTCTCCAAATTTCTGTAATGTGGACAAGTGAATTACACCATTAGGCTGTAGACTGGTGCAGTGTTAGCAAGTTACCAAGGGTGTGTTTAAAGCCTAACACCACCCCAGAAAAAGAGCTGTAGAAATTTGAAATAGCATTTAATTTCATTATCTCATTGGCTCTCAAATTCTCAGATGGCCAGTCTGCCTTTTTAAGTCAGGAGAACGAAAGCAACACTGACAGAAAGAATTGGGCAAAGGGGAAGGGAGTGAGTTGGTGTCTGAAGCAGTTATATTTCTCCCTTTACAACTGTGACCAACAGAGTAACTAACTAAATTAACTTCATCCAGGGAAATTAAATGGATTTTTCACTCTCTAGTCCCCGGCCCCACCCAATTCACAAAGTCCATGAACTAGTTGTGTAACTATTTGTATTCCCTTGGGAGCACCTGTGCCTGTGTAGCAAATTGAAATTGATGGTTGCACTTGTCCAGAACTCATCAATCAGACGTAAACCACTCAAGCAATTCTGAAACATTATCTGTCACTTAACCTGACTCTTGGTTTTCTCAATGGATTAATCATCCAGAACAGCTGAAACTCAGAGAACTTCATTCTGCAAATACCGAAAAACAAAATACGTGCATGAAATTAAAATATTCTTATCAGTAGCCATCTAGATTATTCCAAAAGGAAATAATTACAAACCAACATAATGAGATATAAGAGGCTAAAAGCAGTAAATTGAGAGCAAATATTAAAAATACTAAATCCAGCCTGCAGGACTAAAGGGCCCTCAAATCTCAGACATGCAAAGATCTGAAATATGAAAAAGTCAAGTAAAAATATCCACTGTACAAATAAGTACGTTCTCAAATTTTGAGAGATGTTGTGCCACTATCTCCTCATAATAATCTCATTAAGTATACTATCATCGACCCATTTCCCAAGTAACAAAACTTAGCCCAAGTTCATGAAGCTGTTAGGGGCAAACACGGGCTTTGAACACAGGCTATGAGATTGCAAAGTGAGCTTGACTCCTACCCAGTATGAGTTCAGCCTCATCATACCAGGTAACTTTTGGAGGCTTGAGGTTATTTGAACTGAGACAGAAAAGAGGTCCAATTAGAGGTTATAAGGGAAAAAAGCTGTCCTGGCCCCCAGAAGACTCGTTTCAGACTCATGATACTAGATGCCACTGCTTTCAAGCTTGTAGCCTATAATCAGCCCATATTGAAACCAGATTTACGAGCTCTTCAGGGGAGAGTTTTGTGATTTTCTAAAGCAGACATGTTTGGTATTTTAGAAGGTCACACCCCCTGTGGTGCAGTGTTTTTAATAAAATCAGCTCAGCAGAAATTTGGATGCATTAGTCAATTTCTAGGAAGCCTCTGAGCTTTTCAAAATAAGGGGGAAAATAACATAAAAGACATAACCACGTACAGATCACTTTTTTAAAAAATGAGGTAGAGTGTAAAGGGTATAGATACAGAAACACGGCAAATTTGGTCCCATTTGTCTCTGGTTTGGGCAAATTTCCGCTTAGAAAGGAAAATTACTTTTGGGGGGAGTTTTATGTCAATATTAAACAAGGGCTGTTCCTGGTTAGCTTGGCCTTGTACTGACACCTAAAAGTAACAGTAAACATCTCTGTGAGGGAAAAACAAATAAACCAGTCATTACCATTCTTACATCACTGAATCAGGTAGGTAGCAATTTCATGAAGGGTCCTTTATCTCCGCTGTTGGCGGCTTCTACACTCTCACAGGAAAGCAGAAGTAGAATCTATATTTAGTTCTTAGTAAAAATCAAAGTTGAGAAACCGGCAGTATTTTCACTGAAAAGCCAAGTTATGTATGCCTACATCTGACTTTAACATATGTGCAAATGCTAAATGAATGAGAGGATTTAAAAGGGGATTGTTATGAGCAAAAGAGACAGGGCCAGTCTATTAAGTGGCCCCAGAACTTCAGCCCCTAGAACTTGAGCCCCAGAACACCCATTCTGGCAGAGCATGGGCACAGTGCCACCACCCCACGGAACAGGGAGGTGTAGACAGCCTCATGAATTTACAGTAGAAAAGAACAAGAATATAGAACCAAGTGAAGATACTTTGCATTCACCCTCAAGTTTTGTGATTTTAGCTCTAGCCTGGACCCAAGCTTTTCTTTTACTGACTGTCACGTTTCAAAGCACATGAATTTAAATCCTTCATTGCTGCATTTCCTATAACAAACTGCCGAGTTCTTAGTGAACTGGTACTTGGGGAAAATGGGATGAATAGAGAATAATATTGTGTCTGGGCAAGCAGGAGAAAATGAAGTCTTTCAATTTCAATGGAAAAACTATAATTTGATCTGGAGCTAGAAAGCAGAAGGTGAAGGTGCAAATTTCACCAATGGCAATTTTGATCAATTCTCTAGACAGGTTTGGATAGTTGGGTCCAACAATTTTTTGGCTCCCTCAAATATTAACCCATAAAACACCTTCCCTGACTCAGTGGCTCAGTGGACTGAGCACTGGACTGTGAACCAGAGAGTCACTGGTTCGATTCCCAGTCAGCTCATATCCGGGTTGTGGGCCCCGACCTCAGTGGGGGGCATGCGGGAGGCAACCACATATCAATGTTTCTTTCTCCCTCCTTTCCTCTAAAAATAAATAAAATCTTCTTTAAAAAAATCTTTTATAAATTATGAATGTACAAACTGTCATCTCAATAAGCACAAAACAAATCTGTCATTTATTAAATGCATATTTATTCCATAACCTAATTTGGGGTTGTGGCCTATTATTAAATAATCTAGGTTCTCATTTGTAGACTAGTCCTTTCAATTCAGATTCTTTCATGAACTTGGCTACTGCATCTGTCTTCAGGGACCCATATTATGCTCATCATAAAATATTCCAGAAAATACTTTTTAAAAAATCCATGAACACTCATAAAAGAAAACCCCACACTCAAATATGCAGGCTATAGGTTAATGTTTAAGCATAGGTTTCAAATACACAAAGCATCAAGGAAAATAATCCTACATGGCAAATTATTCTCATTTAAGATAACAAATGGGGAGAAAAGTACACAAATGTGGAATGGGTCTAATTCGGGCTGGGCCGTGTTGCCAGACAATGCCCTCCCTACAGGAGTGAAACACTGGTGTATTAAGTTAGTGGCTACACTCAATGTTTTATTTGGTTATGTTAATAAAAGGATCATTTGGGGGAAGGAAAACTAGAAGCACTGTGTGTTATTTAAATCTCAATTGATATATAATGTTCACTATGGAAAAACTTTCTAAAAATTGAAGGTTGAAAAGTTTTGAAAACTGGGAGCATGGTACAATGAAGGGCTAACTTGGAGTCCAAAATATTTAATTTGGTTTGAGGCAGAATAAACAGTATTAAGTCAGCAGTGACTAACTTTAACTACAAAAAAGAACTCATTTAGGTTTTTCTTCTTCCTGGTTGGAGGTAGGCACATTTAAAAGTATTCCAGAACAAGTGGATCAAGTTGATAAATAAGCGTATCTGCTAAGGCAGCTTCTGAAACAGATCGAGCATATTTGACCTGGTATAGATATGTTTGAGATCTCTTAGATGAAAGTTAAAAACCAGAATGATCCAAATGAAAAATGTGGTGAAGACACACTAAATGATGGGCAGTCTATTTATAAATTCTCCATGCTGTAAGAAAATTACACATATGCATGTAAGAATAAACAAGATCTTGGTCTTGTTTAAAAATAAAGGGTGGAGGGAGGGGAGTGAGGAAGGGGAAGGTCAAGCCAAATCCTATAGTTAGACCCTACAATGAGCAACAGATCTTCATTTGCGTAATTAACATGTAGTGTCTTACAATTCCCACTCAGTTTTTAATTTATGACAAGACACTGCTCAATTTCAGACAAAAAATATATATATATTTAAATCTTTACAATAAATCAAGATGTAGGAGCTTACATAGAGCACACATTAGTTTATTTAGGCACTCATTCCAGCTCCCTCAGATGCAAATCACCCTAGTAACAGTGTGTACATAGTCTTCTCTTTGCCCTTTATAATTTCAAAGCAAAAAATACATTTGACTGTATGTAAGTCTGTGCAAATAATCCTTCAGAAAAAACACCCAAGATTCTGTTTGCAGAGGTCACTTTGTCTCTAAAGATGATTACATGAGTTTGTTTTTCTTCAGATAAAGTGCTCCTGTCCAGCGGAAGTCAAAGGCCTTCAAGCGTCCAAGAAGCTCAGTTCAGATAAGACACGGTCATACGAATTCCAGCTTCCCATGCCCACTGTACATGCCCCAGTGAACAAGTGAGAGGATCTTGTCGTTGCTGAGGTCTGCTTGTCTCATTTTATCACAGGTCAGACAGCAGTTCTCATGCCCACTCACTGGCACCATGCATTCCAAGTCCAACTTTGCAACCTGCCCCTTTTTGGAATGGTGTCCATGAAAGCTATAGTGCAAACGGGAGAGCATCTGTTGCCGCTGATCCCGAAGTCTCTTGTTTTCACTTCGCAGCATCCTCAAGGCCAACATAATGAGCAACACTAAAATCAGCCCTCCAGCGATGGGAACAGCAATCACTGCTGCCCGGAACCACAACTCTTTGGAAGAAGTCAGCTCCTGCACTTTGGTGATGAGGTTTCTGCTACCGTCATGCTGATACCGGTTTCCTTGTCCTAAAGGAGCACAAGCAAAACTGTGTTAACTCTACTTATCGATACTTATGCTCATCGATCAATTTTAAACCAGGCACCCCATTTAATAGCTTACCAATAAGTCAACAATATTTAGGAGGTAAATGTTGCAAAAGCAAGGCAAAAAAGATTACAAAAACATTTGTTTACAGACTGTCATTCTAGAGTAACAATGGTCTTTTAATGTCTTCAAACTGTTGAAAAGTTAGGCAAAACCTATTATGTAGGCAGACATCTGATGCTCAGGCAAACATAAAAGCTACTCAACGGGCATGCATCTTTGCATCCAGCCATCCAACTAACCACATTAACAACAAAATCAAAGGCAGACATACCAAGTTGTGGCTGTCACAAACCTATAGATATCAGGTAAGCATTTTAGTTAGAAAGGCTTCTACCTACCTGAGGCCTCCCCCTTGGGGGAAGAGAGAACGTCATGCAGCCCTCTGTAATTGCACATATCTTCATGACAGCATTCCAATGTGGGCATGGCCGTGCCAGAGTGGTTTTGTGCCTGTTTGGCTTGGCAGATGTCTGCTGTGCTTGCGAGAGAGTCTAGGCAGCCATGAGTGAGTGGGGAGTTTGTGTTCTGAGGATCAAGAAGCCTAGAGAAGCAGGCACTCAGCTCAGACTTACACATATAGCCAGTTGCCACGCAGTGGGCAGCATCACAGTAGCATCTGATTTCACCTGAAAACAATAAGAAAAATGCATCAAATTGCTTCAAAAGCAAGATAATGCATCTGCTTAAGAGACTGCAAAGTCCCAACCTCAAAGGCACTAACTTTTAGAACACTCAGCCTAGTCCTTACAACAGCAGGTCATGCAGACTGGAAAAGCCCTTTGTGCAAGCCTGTGCTTCAATTTCAATCTAATCAAATACAATTTTTGAAATATATTAATCCCAGTAGTGAAGAATCAAAGTTCAATTTAGGTTTTTGATCAGTTAAGTCATTAACAATAATACTTTTCTTTTTGAAAAAAATAATAATCACAATAATTTCTCCTACCAAAATGTAAATTACATTATTTATTCATTTTAATCCTACATGACCATAGAACATGAAAATACTAGGCTTTTTGATTTTGTAAGTATAAATATTTGATCGGAACTACTGAATTGTTTACTACCTCGAAGGGCTGTGCCAAGATTTAAGAGCTTTAGCTAACACCTTATAAAGTTATTAACTAGAAACACAACAATCTAGAAATTGCTCCAGTCAGGAGGTTTTAAAACTATGAAACTGGGCAGTTATTTGCAACCTCTCTAGAAAAGGCAAACTTTGCCTATAAAGATCTTTTCATGCAGAGGAGCTTTTAGTATATTGTAAAACAGGAACTAGGCAGTTTACAATTAGTGGTTTGCTTGCCAAAGTCAATTTCTTTCAGCCCAAATGGAAAGTCATAAAACTGGGGGCGGAGGGGAGAGTGTGAAACTGCAAGGCTAACTTCTCCTCCCCTCACTCCCCAGTTTTACATGTAATTCGACATGGGATCTAAAAGGGGAAACACTGAATCTGAAAATCCTCTGCTGGTTGAATGAAAAATCCTTAAGGAAACCTCAAATTTTTCTACAGGAAGTGATTAAAGTTTCCTTTAAAACTTATTTTGCAAGTTGCAAGTCACTACTAACATTTTGCTGCAATGCAAGATCTGAGACTTTTAACATCAATTTCTAGTTGAAATCATCTCAGTCTCAGAGTTATCAGTAATATGATTTTCAGCCCAGTGGACTCCGGTCATTGTAACATGCCACAGCTAATGCTACTGTAAATGGAACTGGTGCACACACCTCTCTCCAGCTTCCCAATCTGAAGTTTTGTCTACTTACTGAAACCTCCGCTCTGAAATTGAACACCTCTTCCCAACCCCCTACCTTTCTTCCTTCTCCTCTAGTGATGCCTGAGGTAAGGTGTCTCATTTAATTATCTGTCCAAATTCCAGGCCACCGTATGGCATGCTCAGTTTTCAGCAGAAGCTGCTAATGCTTCAGTTCTAAAAAGACCAGCCAACTATACACAGATCTTTGGCAAGCCTAGTTTTTAACTGTCCAAAGCTGGAGGTCTTGCTTCTATTTTAAATCTGCATTCCCTATCCTGGGTCTGAGCCCAAGACCCTTCTCCAGTTAAGACCTTCAAGTTAGAAGTTTGCTTTGTAGAGGTTCATTTCTCTTCTTTTCAAGCTTATTTGATTTTTTTGCATAAAGCTCACTGGTCTTATGTAGTGATAACTATATGTCCCTGCCGGACACATTCCATATACAGACATCAGGTAGAAGTAAAACAGATTAAAAGTCCATTTTGATCCTATTCACCTCAGACCTCATGCACAAAACAACTTAAATACAAGTGAAATACTGCCTAAATGTTTAGGGGAGCCTATTTTAATATATTATGATATATTTTCAATGACCTGAAAAAGCCTAATAACATTGACAGGTAACTAGAAAAGTTCTAACAACTTAAAAAAAAAACCGGAGTTATATTTGAGCAAGTTGAATTAACTTTTGTATTACTGTATTAAAACTATATTTCTGTCGTTTCATAAAGTTTCTTCCTGTGGCATGCAAAAGGCCAGAAAGGGGACTGGTATTTTGAAACAGTGAACAATGCTCTTCTGTTTTCCCCCCCTTTCTTGTTACTGTATGTAGTGATTAAACAAAAATGTCTGCTTTAGTCAAGATGGCTACAGGAGAGACTGCTGGCTTCTTTTAAAGCTTTTGAAGTCAGCAGCAGTCAAATCTCTGATCCCCTAATTATATCATTATCAGGCACATAGTTTCGGTATCTGTGACTTCATGTCAGCCTCAGTCCCTCCCAGTTCTGCCCGCCTTTGATAGGGCCAGGAGACTCCCCTCTGAAGGCTGCAAGGGCTGTTATTTAGGGTTAATTACACCCTTACTTCCAAAATAAATAAATACTGTAGCACATCATCCTTGCTGGGCTAGCTTATCCTTTAACCTCATGCCTGCTACATGGCAATTAGAGAAAAGTGGGGGGTACAAAAGCTAAACAACACTTGGTATTAAAAAAAAATTATCTGTTGTTCATGGCAGGGTAGGTGGGGGGAACCTTGAAATCTAAATGGAGTTTGGCTTATTTCAAACTCAAAGGTGAAAGCCTGCCGATGGGGTGTGGGGGAAGAAACTGACTGCTGGTTTTTGTTATTGTTTTTCAGTAGTAGTAGTAGTATTTGTAAAATGTGAGGTGAATGGAAATGGACCACTGACAGAGTCCAGCGTCACTCGGAACGGAACGTGTACTCATGCACACTGAATACACACCGGGACACCTACGCTCAGGGAGGCACAAGCTCGCTGGTTCACGAAGACACTGAGAGACACAAAGACACACTCACCGGCAGAGGCACATTCAAATGTAGACACACTGAAATAGAGACGTATGCAAATACACACAACAGAGACACATTGACGGGCAGAGACACACTCGAATACATAGATACATTCAAATGCAGAGACAATCAAATATAAAAACATAATCAAATACAGAATCTACTAAAACAGAGTGACACGCAACAGAGACCCGAGACTCAGTATGGACGGACACACAGGGCAACCGGGGGCGAGGGTCTGCGGTTCCTCCAGGGCTTCCCTGCCCGGAGAGAGGGAGGCGGCGTCCGAACTCACACTACCGCCCCGCTCCCCGGCCGCAAACATTCATAAGTTCACTACGGAAAGACTTACACAAACATTTTGACAACCACTTGCTCTGAGGTCCGCCAGACCCGTAACACCCGAAGGGTCGGCCGCAAAGCCACTGCCGCGACTTCTACTAACAGTCAACTTGTCGCGACCTGCGGGCTCCAACGCGGGAGGAAGCCTCGCCTGGCGCTAACAAAGCCCAGGCGGCCGGCTTCAAAAGCTCGCCGCCGCGGCGGCCGCCCCGGGACCCCACGTGCCCCTCCCCGAGGGGCCGCGCCCCGCCGTCCGACGGGCACCCACCTTTGGTGAGCAGCACCGCCATGGCACAGAGTTCGAGCTGTAGCCAGATGAAGATGTAGCTGGAATGGCGATCCATTGACGCCCCCACGGCCGCGGAGCCACCGCCGGTTCCGGAGCCGCGGGCAGCTGCAGCCTACGACTCCCGGAGCGCGCAGTGCATGGATGCTGCCCAGAGAGGCGGGCGCCGTCAGCGACGGGGCGACGGGCCGGGCAGCGTCCGGAGCATGGAGCGCGACTGCAGGGCACGCCGAGGGAGAGAGGATCTTCGACGACCAACTCTGCGGGCACCAGCTCCTTCGTTCCGCTCAGTGCCGCAGGCTGGAATGAACCCTCGGCTTCACTCGCTCTCGGCCGGGCACTCTAACAAGACGAGGGAGCAGAAACTACCAGCTGCGAGCTCCCGCCTGCGCCCGCCTCCTCCGTCCAGCCTCCGCGCCATAAATACCTCTCCGCCTGGGGAGCCAGCCCGGCGCCGCCCCGCCCCCGAGCTCGCACCAGCGCTGTCCGATTGGCCGCCGGGCTCAAGTCAATCATCCGGCACCCAAAGGGCGGGCACAGACGCGGGCAGGGAGGGACCCGCCGGCGGCTCCTAGCGGCGCCGGCGTCTGGCCCTGGGCTCCCGCGGCTGCTGTCTCCAGCGCTCCCCCTAGCGTAGGCCTGAGTGTCCCTGACCTCCCGAGGCGTGCGTCGAGCCCGCCGCTCGGTCTGTCTCTAGAGCCTCATAACTCAGCCTTGATCTAGCATTGCCCTGCCCGTGGCTTCATTTTTGTTCCTACCGAAATAAGCCCGGACCCGCGCGGCCGCCTTCGGAAGCCCTTCCCCTCCACGCTGCGCTCTTTGGAAGCCCCGGAGACTAGTGGTGGTCCTCGGCGTGCGCTGTCGCCGGAGACGCTCCTGCCGAGCCACCGCTGGCTCGCGTGTGGCGATGAAGGGGGGGTTCCAGTAGGAAAACAGGAACAAGGGTGGCGGGGCTCTGAGGTCTGCTTCCAGCCTCCCACCATCAACAACCCCCCACCCCCTGGCGCATCCGCCTCCAGCCGTCTGCCCTGTGATCAATAAAGCCCAGACAGACAGACTGTTGATCTGTAGGAGCCGCTAAGTTCTCCTGGGTAGACAGGGGACGAGTAGTCGGGCTAGAGACACTTAACGAAAATTAGCAAATCCAAAAAGCACCCGGCGCCAGCGAGACGACACAGGCCGAGACTGACACGCAATTAACCACCCCCCAAACAATCGCAGGCAAACATACCGGCTGACCTTGATCAATATCAGTCCCTCAGTGATCTCCTTCCGGAGATGCTAATTCATTTATTAGGACTTGCGGGGCTGCCTACCCCAAAGTACCCAAAAGCGGTCCTGGAGGTTTTGCCGTTTTAAATTTATGTGGAGGGAAAATGCAACTTAAAACTATTTTCTGAGGAAATGCTCTTTTACTCTCTACTACCAAAACCTGAGACTAACAAAAGTCAACCATTTGGAAAATTTCCTTCTAGGATTAACCACCATGGGTGGGGGACGGTGCAGAAGCGTGCATTTGATGCAATGGTGGGACATGTGGTCAAACCACTCAGGACTAGAATGCAGGGATGGACTTTAAAACTAGGAAAAATAGCCCTGGCTGGTGTAGCTCAGTAGATTGAGCGTGGGCTGTAAACCAAAGGGTTGTGGTTCAATTCCCAGTCAGGGCATATGCCTGGGTGGTGGGCCAGGTCCTTTTTGGGGGCAATGTGAGAGGCAACCACACACTGGTGAGAAACACCTCTCTTTCTCCTTCTCTTCCCCTCTCTCTAAAAAATAAAATGAAAAGAAATAATTTTTTTAAAGACTAGGAAAAATATGTATGTCTCAAGGACTGAAAATCAAGACCAACCTCGTAAATTAAAATTACTGAAAGTCCACGGAACTGAAGGATGTGGTTAATAACATTGCCTTTGAAAACGACATTTATATTCAGAAAAAAATTCATAAACTGATGCTCTGACCATCTAGTGATCTACCTCACTATTGCCTCCCAAAGGAGGGACGGTAGCCCAGCAGAAGTTTAAAGAGGAAATTAAACTGGTGAGGGCTCCAGGTAAACTGTAGGCTCTCTCAAGTGATAGACTCACTGCCTTCCTTGGAGAGGAGTTTGATCAGGGCTTCCTGACATCTAATTCTTTGACAAGTTAACAATTCTAAGGGGTTCAGGTAGACAATGCTTTTCATATAATGGCTCACTCTTAACTCCAGAGAGTCAAATCATTAACCAAATGGAAACTTTGAGAGTACATTCAGTCGGCTATCTCGGAGCACCCGCTGTAGGCCCGGCTCACCATGTCTCAGGTTATAAAGATGTCAAAACCTAAGTAGGAAATCACAAGCAATGGAGCTTGATGATGGTACAGATTTACCTGCACAGTGTTATGACGCATAAAGAAAAAAGAAAATAACTACCTCAGGAAGGTAAAGAAGTCGAGAAGCAGTAACATTGGGCACGAGTCCTAAAGAAGAAGGAGAATTGAAAGGGGACCAATACAAGCAAACAGTACCCCAGGAATTTAGGCATGAAATGCATTGATTTCATTAGGGCATATGGGGTGCTAACTAGAGGATAGGGAGGGGAAACTACAAGCAATTCTTTGTTTCTGGAGTATAAAATATGAAGCAAGTAATGGGCAGAGATGCACTAGAAAATAACTATAATTACCTGTGATGCAGATAAATGCTTGTTTAATGGAAAGGGTCTAGGGAGATATGTTGATGAAAGCTGTTTTGCACTAAACAGTTCTTGAGTGCCTTCTCAGCTCCTTTCTCTGGAGTGGGGCATCAGCTGCAGACCTAGGGTACTGGCCCTTTGGATATACCTAGTCAGTCACATGATCTCAGTTGGGCCAATTAGGTTTCTCTTCCCCGTCTTTGGACAGAGAAGCTGGTCAATCTCCAGAGATCACTCCATGGGAGACAGAAATTCAGAGTTCACCTTTCTGCAAAGAGGAAAAAACATGACAAAGATGTGCAGAGTGGAAAAGATGTAAATCCAAATGGGCTTCCTGTCACTTGTCTTCACATCCTGTCCTTGGGTTCCTTAAAAGTTCTTTTTAGTTAAGGTTGTTCTACTTTCAACTTGAAGGGTCTGCACTATGATCCTTATATTAAATTAAATTAAATTCACTTTTATCCTTTCAGGATGTATACCTATTTTTTGTTCCATACACAATTCAGATTAAGAATATGTGATTCATTCTTCAGACAATGATTTCAACTCTTTTGTTTTTATTCTTACTTTAATGGGCAGACTTTTAAAATGGCTAGAAATTAGTTTTTAGAGAAATGTCTGCTGTTTAATGTTCTGGAGGAGACATGGACTTTTCAACTGAATGAAGGAGAGTATGGAAAATCAAAACTGGTTTAGAGATAATATATCAGTTAAAAAGCCGTATGAATACTTGAGAGAATAGGCAACAATTTAATTCAAGACTCAAGGAAAATTGCTTCTTTACAGACTTTTACTTGTGTTCTGTACATAATTCAGTTTTTATTTCCCTACATATAGGTTGATAAGTAGAGGGGAAAATAGCAAAATCTAGTTAGTGTCTTTGGAAATTTAAATCAAGAAAAGAAATTGATGACCAAAATCCAATATTGTCTTTACTATTATGAAAGAAATTCTGAAAATACAACCTGAGAGCAGAAAGCTGATTCTAGACCTAACACACTGAAATAATTAAACATTATAATAGTTTTATTAATTTTAAAGTGTCCTAGATATGATTTACCCATGGATATATATAGTCTATATTATAAAAACATGTCACTATGCTATATTTTTATGGTTGTCCTAAACAACAAAATATTTTTAAACACCATTTTTCTTAGCAAAAGAAAAAAAAAGACAAGAGTTTTTATGTTCCAAGCCCCTTCATTAACAGAGCTATAAATAGCAATCTCTGCTTACCCAAATAATGTCATTATTTCCCAAAGTTATATGTTACCCCCCATTTTTAGCAATGCCTCTCTCTTTCCTCACAATGCAGATGAAAAATAATTCTTAGTGTATTTTGTTCAGAGAGAAGCAGTTGTGTTCAAGTTCCTGGCGGCATACAAACAACTGTTGCAGTCTAGCGATAGAATCTAACATTTTTGCCTGTTATACAACTCTTTTACCAACTAACAATTCATGGGGTTTAGGTAACACTTTGAATTCCCAGTAGCAGCATTTTTTACAAAGTCATTTGTTCTCGGTAGAAGATCTGGGAACTAGAGTTTAGATCTAAAATTGACTTTCATTGGAATAAGGTGAAGGGTGAGAGATCAGCACAGCCAAAGGAATGGCTGTCTATCTAGCTGTCTGGTGAAATTGGGCTTTGTCCTCCTCCAAAATGAAAAGAGGTAAAGGACTGACTACAGAGTCTGCAGGTAGTACGATGGTCCCAGACAGAGAGAAGACTGAAGCTCATCCCCAACTGCCCTTCTTCCCACATACTAGCAAGAATGCAATGGGGGTTTGACAAATAAACCATAGATTATCTGTTGGGTTGAGGTTTTCTTAAGAAGTTTGAAAGCAACTAAGTTTAGAATATAGTAAGAAACGTCCTCAGTTAAAGAACACCACCTTATGAACTTAACAATGGGTAGTATTTATAACCAGAATACAGTCTGTATGATCCTTGACCATAAGACTTAGCCCTTGTTCTACTCAGTTGTGTTCATGTAACCTCCCACTAAGCCAGTAGAACTTTTAGAAATTATTCAGTAGCCTGCTAGTTTTACCAACTCGGTGTCAAATAACCAGTTAAATTCCTTTTGTTCTTTTCATTAAAATGTCAAATCAAGCTTGTAAAGGAGGGAAATTACCTTAAACAAATTCCTACCTAGAGGGACACTCTTGACCCAGACTGCTAGTAATACAATAAACAGTATTCTTAAATTGTATTTTGTTAGCTGACAGTACTTCCCTTGTATTTTTTAGGATTTTCTTTTTGAATGTTCATATACAAACCAATCATAGAAATTCAGAAGTTTTAATATTTTCATTAGACAACCAAACATTTGAAGTCTTCCTTGAAATTGGCCACAACCATGCCTCCTTTCCCACCACCCAAAATCCGCCTGTTTTTCAGTGTTCTCCCTCTCTTTGCTCTTCCTCCCTTGGTAGCCCCACAATGACTTTGCATAGAGCCATTCTCCTTAAAAAAAAATCTGAAAAACAATTTCTAAAATATTAACATTTCTAGAAAACAATAGCCACACTAGGCATTGTATCCATCACGTTAAAACACGCACAATACACAAATACAAAACCATGAAACAAGCCACCACTGTTCAACAATTTGAGTAAATGACTAAAGAACAATATGGATGATGTACAAAGGATGGACCCTTTAAGTACCAATTTTTTTAAAAGAGCACCAATGGATGAGTGTGTTTAGCTATATACACCGAATTGAACCTT